TTGTTATGCAATAGTTTTCACTTTGTAACCCCAAAACTTAGTGGTTTACACATCAAACATCTCAGTTTCTGTGGATCAGGCACTCAGGAACAGTCTAGTTTTGCATTTCTACTTCTGGGTCTCTCATGAAGTTATAATCAAGGTCAAGGTGACTGTTGGGGCTGCAGTCATATATATATATATATTTTTTTTTTTTGATACAGTCTCACCCTGTCACCCAGACTGGAGTGCAGTGACACGATCTCAGCTCACTGCACTCTCCGCCTCCCAGGTTCAAGGCATTCTCCCTCAGCCTCCCAAGTAGCTGGGATTACGGGTACACGCCACCTCACCTAGCTACTTTTTGTATTTTTAATAGAGATGGTGTTTCACTATGTTGGCCAGGCTGGTCTAGAACTCCTGATCTCAGATGATCCGCCCACCTTGGCCTCCCAAAGTGCTGGGAGTACAGGTGTGAGCCACTGCACCTGGTTGCTCTTTTTTTTTTTTTAACCTTTTTAAAATCCACCCTTCTGCACACTGTTGGATTACAGTCATCTGAAGGCATCACTGGGTCTGGACAATCCATTTCTAAGATTGCTGAGTCCCCAGGCTGTTGACAGGCAGCCTCAGTTCCTCAGTGGCTACTGAGAGAGTTCACTTCTTTGCTACAGGAGCCTCTCCAGAGAGCTGCTGGAATGTCTTTACAACAGGGTAACTTGTTTTATCCAGAACTAATGATCCCAGAGAAAGCCAGGAGGAAGCCACATGCCACTTTTAGACCTAGTCTCAGAAGTTACACTTTGTCCTTTCTGCCACATTCTATTTGTTAGAAATGAGAGTCACTAAGGGCAGGCTGTACTCAAGGTGGTGAACTACGTTCCACCATTTGAAGAAAGGTATAGCCAAGGATTTGTGTACAAATTCTGAAAACATTCTTATTCCATATGTCAAGACCCACCTTCAAACATGTAAACTTCTGTGGGCAAAAATTCTTTTTTTTTGAGTGCAGGGGTGCAATCTCAGCTCACTGCAACCTCTGTCTCCCAGGTTCAAGCGATTCTCCTGTCTCAGCCTCCAGAGTAGCTGGGATTACTCATGCCTGCCACCATACCCGGCTAATTTTTTTTTTATTTTTTAGTAAAGATGGAGTTTCACCATGTTGGCCAGGCTGGTCTCGAACTCCTGACCTCAAGTGATTGTGGCAAACATTCTATCAGAATGGCCTCCGTGCTTCCTAAGGCTTTCAATTACATCTCATCCATAATTCAGCACCAGATGATTTCTTGTGCCTGCAGGAGATAACCAAATGCCAAAACATCTCCTTGAAATGACGAAGGCAACTCGAATTTCCCATGTGAAAAATCTACCAGGGTAACATTAGTGAGAATTCAGTTTACAAATGATCAGAAATCACAGATACTGTGCTGTTTTCTTAAACTGTGATTCCCCCTGTGACACCAAGATGATAAGACTATTCCAGCAAACAAAAAGCTGATTTGGTGCAAGGACAGAGAATACCCCCAGGTAAGTGTATTTGTTAACCTGTTTTGTAACAAACCATCCCCAAATTGAGTGGTTTATAAAACACATTTATTTGTTCACAGTTGCATGATTTGGGCAGTGCGGGGCAGGCATAGCTCATCTTTCACTGTGGTATGACGTTTTCCTTGTGTGGCTACATTCAGCTGCAAGTTCTACTGAGACAGGGTGTCCACGTGGCCTCACCTTGTATATGTGAGCCGTTAGCTGGGGCGGTTAGGACAGGTGATAATGCACTGGGCATTTCTCTCAATGTCATCTCTAGAAAGGAATAGCTTAGGTCTCTTTATGGTGGTGACGCAGGACTCCGAGGGAGAAATAAACTGCTTTGAAGACCCAATCCCGTTACCAGAACAGCATCTCTTCTATCACATTCTGTTGGTTAAAGCAAATAATAAGGCTAGCCCAAATTTAGAGAGAGAAAATAGATTACACCTGTTCACAGAAGACACAGAAAAAAAAATAAATAAAAATGGCACACTTTAATCCACCACAGTGAGGTAAAACAAGTCTCACCCCTACAATATCTAGTACAAGCTTTCTGAACACATTTACTTTTCCCCCCAAACCAAAGCTTTGCATATAGAGAAGCCCATGTGGCAAAATGATTTATGTTCTCAGAGGAATCAGCAGTGAAGGAACTTTCGGTTTCCCAGGGTGCTTTTTTTTTTGAGACGGAGTCTCTCACTCTGTCACCCAAGCTGGAGTGCAGATCTTGGCTCACTGCAAGCTCCACCTCCCGGGTTCACGCCATTCTCCTGCCTCAGCCTCCTGAGGCTGCCCGCCCCTTTTTTTTTTTTTTTTTTGTATTTTTAGTAGAGACGGGGTTTCATGGTGTTAGCCAGGATGGTCTTGATCTCCTGACCTGACAATTGACCCGCCTTGGCCTTCCAAAGTGCTAGGATTACAGGCCTGATCCACCATGCCCGGCCTCCCAGGGTGATATTTGAAAAAAAGAAATACATGGATGGGCCGGGCATGGTTGCTCATTGCAGCGCTTTGGGAGGCTGAGGCAGGAGGATCACTTGAGTTCCTGAGTTCGGGATAAGCCTAGGCAACATAATGAGACCTCCATCTGTACAAAGCATTTAAAAATCAGCCGGCTGTGGTAGCGCATGCCTGTAGTCCCAGCTACTTGGGTGACTGAGGTAGGAGGATCACTTGAGCCCAGGGGATTTAGGCTGCAGTGAGCCATGATCACACCACTGCATTCCAGCCTAGGTGACAGAGGGAAACCCTGTCTCAAAACAACAAGAAGAAGAAGTTTGTGTGTAAGGTTTTAGGTTAGTTGCAGTGAGAAGTACAAAACGAAATACTATCTTCATTTTTAACACCTGTAATCTCAGCACTGGGAGGCCAAAGCAGGAGGATCTCTTGAGCTCTGGAGTTTGAGACCAACCTGGCAACATAGCAAGACCTCATCTCTACAAATAAAAAAATTAGCTCGGCGAGGTGGCTCACTCCGGTAGTCCTAGATCCTCAGGAGGCTGAGGTGGGAGAATCACCTGAGCCTGGCTGGTCAAGGCTTCAGTGAGCCATGATTGCACCATTGCACTCCAACCTGGCCAACAGCGCAAGATGCCTTCTCAAAAAAAAAAAAAAAAAAAAAAGATAAAACATGGTAATATAAATTCAATTACTCCATTTTGACGATGTCAAGTCAGTTAATAAAAGCACTATACTCAGCCTAGGCAACACAGTGAGACCCTGTATCTACAAAAAATTTTAACAATTAGCTGGAAGTGGTGGCATATGCCGGTAGTCCCAGATACTCAGGAGGCTGAGGCAGGAGAATGGCGTGAGACCAGGAGTTCGAGGCTGCAGTGAGCCGTGATGGCACCACTGCACTCCAGCCTGAGCAATGGAGCAAGACCCTGACTTAAAAAAATAAAATAAGAAAGCACTTTACCATTCATAACATTTGTTTACAAAGCCGTATGAGTAAGCAAGGTCACTTTTATGGTTGTATCTTTTGATCACATATCAACATAAAGCAAAAATATTTTACAACTTCAGTGCACTAAAACATCTATTTTTCTTTTCCAAGACGTTTCCATAGGATACCTAGTTTTTAGTTAGAGGATGATTATGGATAGGCTAACATCTTTTCACATAGTAGCTACAATTATTCCTGTTAGGTAATAGGGATTGAGGCAATTTAGGAATGTAACTTTACATAAGGCTTGTTCAACCACACTGATTATTCGTACCCAAGTAACAGAACCATTTAAGAATGATGGGAAAGTTTGGTCAAATATTTATTTATTTATTTATTTATTTATTTATTTATTTATTTATTTATTT